GGGTATAGGCGACTTTGAGAATGGGGGTTTTCTCGGAGAGTGCTTCCTCGATGGTGATACCGGGAAGCGAGTTCACTGCCCCAAGAACGGTTTGTGGGCAATGGTGACAGAACATTCCATCCACATGTATAGAGATAGTTCGGATCTGAGCAGTGCTGAGCTTTTCGGTGCTACCTTTCAATGGGGAGATGCTGTTGACGGTGGCGTCGTATCCGAGGTCTTCGATCCTCTCTATGATTTTATCAAGATTGTCTCGGCCTTCAAATTCCACCTTTCCGCTATGGGAAAGCAGGTTCACAGACACATCGCGAATGAAAGGAAGTTCTTCAAGTCCTCGAGTCACCCCTCCGACGCAAGAGCCACAGGTCATGCCGGTGATTGCAATCTCGCTGACATAGTTTGCTGCCGGCTCTGTAGATGCCGGTGGTTTCGGTGTCTGGTTCACCTCGTCAAGAGATGCTTCAAATCCAGCATCATTGATTTGCTCAACAATCTTGTCAATATTATTGCGAGGCCCAGCGTAGATTACTGTTGCGCTGTTGGTGAGAAGGTTGACAGTGATTTTGTTCACGAACTCAAGCTGTTGGACTTGTGCGGTGATACTGTTGGCACACGATGCGCAGCTCATTCCTCCAACGCTAATCTGTGCGGTGAACTCCTCGGTTGATTCAACGGACGGACTGGGAAGTTCTGCTATCTCTGTCGGTAGTTCTGGAGTAGACACATCGGGTTGAACTTTTGATTCAGAGGTGGCAAATGAGCGACGATTCTCCTGCACAGCATTCTCCGGAGTTGACTGAAGTTTTGTAGTGGTTATATCTTGTTCGTGGTACTTGTTCAATGGGCGGAAGGGACTCTGTGAGGACTTCTCGTCCAAAAGTCCTAGCTCCGTTCGAGAAGAAGAAGGACGAGAAAATGTCTCTAGTTCTTCCTTCCTGCACGCATCGCAGTTGGCAATATGTCGTTTATGTCTGCTGGTCTGAATTCGCTCTCTAATGTTCGATGAGATACTAGAAACAGAGGTTCGCGGGGAGGAGAACAGCGTGGAGCCGCGGTGGTTCCAAGAAGAGGTGTCGAGTTCCGCGATGAGCCTTCCTCGTTGGTCAAATGTCGTTACATAGTGTACTTCGAACGCGGCATGAATCAGCGCGTTGACGAGGTCGGCCGGGCGAACGGTGGTGCTGTGGCTCGCACGCACTTCATGCGTCAAAATTGTGACTTCGATATTTCTGACTGAAGGGGTCTCAGAGAGCACTTCCGTGATATATGTAACGCATGATGCGCAGTGCACATTCGATACAAAGAAGACACTGGTCTGGGTATCGAAGTCTTGATGGGCTGCCTCCAGATCGGAGGAGTGGATCTTGGGTCCTGAAGACATAATTGACAGAGATTTCTGCGGCTCAAAGACGAAGTATAGTGTGGGATATATTGATCCTTGCAAAGCCTCCGCAGATTGCAGATTCGATACTTGAAGGGTCTTGCTCAAGCCAGGTTTGAAAGAGGCAGTTGTCGGGATTCGATTTTTACAGAGCGGCCTGGGATCAAGGTAAAGAAAGGGAAGAGCAACCAGCGGCGATTTCTCATATAAAGCAAAAGCTGGGAACTGGAATTGATTTGCAATGCAATACTATATTTCATTAAGAAAGAAAAGAAAGGAAAATCCTAGAAGTGGGTGGATAAGTTGAAACATGGTGAAGATGCGCCATTTGTGCGCGATTCCTCCAAACCACGCACAAATACCGCATTCCAGACATCTTGATCATGACCCCTGCGGTCCCTATGTAGTATGCCACTAGTCTCAAGGCTGGCAATCAGGAATGAGGCCGGATTATCGTATTAACATTGTGAAAGTAACCGTTCCACGTGTGTGGAGTATCAAGTCTGATGATGCTGTGCTGCCGGTGATCATGGATCATCCACGAACCTCAGGCACTGAGGGGCGAGGGGGCGACGAAGGACCATATTCTACTAAGCCTAATTAGGCTAGCGTGTCATAAATCAATTAAAGTCATGTGATCAGTCAATACAAAGTAGAATCCCCATCAGATCAGCCATTCATGTAACAATAGACAATCAATCAAAGAAATCAATTGAACCAAATTGTCCATTTGTATTTGAATCAAACTTTCTATTGTCAATATCCAATCAATACAACTTTATGTTGTATGTTCGAATCCAGCTCTACAGCTTTCAATTACATAAGCAGGTTGAATACTTTTTCCTCTCACTTCCACTTCCATCCTTATCGCGATTCTCGTGACAGTCGATAAACCCTTCGTGCAAAAAAAAAAAAAAGCTGCGCGACGCCCATTTAAGAAATTCCGAGGCTGTGAGGACTCGGCCTCCAACGAGTGCCCCTGTCTACATTCAACCTCTGAAACCTCTTACTTTTTACTTCCACCAAAATGTCGGCGCCCAGATCCGGCGCGCGTCCAATCCCTCCCCGCGGCCCCCGGCCTCCTGTGGGACGACTGGCCAGTCTAAAACCTCCCAACTCGACTCCTATCAATCGTCCAACTGCTATTGGACGTCCTCAACCACCCCGCCCGACAACACACCCCAAAACATCTAATTGTCCAAACCCGGGGTGCCCTGCTCCGCATATTGTCGATGATGGAGGCATGAAGGTCTGTACAGGCTGTGGTACTGTGATCAGTGAGAACAACATTGTTTCTGAAGTTACGTTCGGTGAAGCCTCGTCCGGTGCTGCTGTTGTGCAGGGATCTTTCGTCGGAGAAGATCAGACACACGTACGTAGCTATGGTCCAGGTTTCCAGCGCGGTGGCGCCATGGAGAGTCGGGAAATGACCGAACAAAACGGAAATCGATATATGCTCCAACTTTCACGAGCATTAACTATTCCGGAAAGTGCGACCAAGGCCGCCGGTCAGGTATTTAAGCTTGCCGTCGGTCTAAACTTTATCCAAGGTCGTCGTACAAAGACGGTAGCTGCAGTGTGCTTGTACATTGCGTGCCGTCGTCAAAATGGCAATACTGTCATGCTGATTGATTTCGCGGATGTGTTGATGATCAATGTCTTCAAACTTGGTCGTACATACAAGGCACTTCTCGATGAACTCCGCCTAGGCGGCAATGTCTTTCTCATGAACCCCATCGATCCTGAAAGTCTGATTTATCGTTTCGCTAAGCAGCTGGAATTCGGAACATCTCTCATGGCGGTGGCCGGAGAAGCAGTCAGGATCGTTCAACGAATGAACCGTGATTGGATGACCACCGGTCGACGCCCAGCTGGTCTCTGTGGTGCCGCGCTGATTCTTGCCGCGCGCATGAACAACTTCCGCCGAACTGTACGTGAGGTCGTCTATATTGTCAAAGTGACAGAAACCACTATCAGCCAGCGTTTGAACGAGTTCGGTTCCACCGAGAGTGGTGAATTGACGGTTGATCAATTCCGTTCGGTCCAATTAGAGAACACTCACGATCCCCCGGCCTTCACTCGCGGGCGAGAAGGTCGGAAAAGCCGCGTCAAAAGGGTGCCAGAGACCGCGGCGGAACTCGAAGATGACGACTCTCCAACCGAAAGTGAAGCAGAATCAGTGCAGCCTCCTCGTATAGATGCCGACGGTTTCGCTATTCCCAGTCTCCCTATCGACCCGGCTTTGACTGCAAATAGTCACGGCCGACGTGCATCAGTAATTGCCAAGGCAGTGAATGAAGTCGTTGAAGATATCAAAAACGAGCCGATCCACTCCAAGGGCAAAGGCAAGCGACAACCCACACCAGAACCTTCTGCCGAACAGGTTGCATCTGAGGCGGCACTTGAAGATGAAATGCGGTCTATGCTTGCTCAAGGATCAAATCTGATTGAGAGTGTTGGCTCCGACCAACCGCCACGGCCCACCGTTTCCGACAGCACTGAAATTGATGCTGCCGAGTTTGAAGATGACCCCGAAGTCGCCAATTGTCTGCTCTTACCTGCTGAAGTCGAGATCAAGGAGTCGATTTGGGTGACAGAAAATAAGGAGTACCTCCGCATTCAACAAGCAAAAGCCCTAAAGCGGGCCCTGGAAGAGTCAACCGGAGGAGGCACCCCTCGCAAACCACGCAAGCGTCGCCGTGGCCGCCTTGGAGATGTCACTTATCTGGAGGGTGAGGGGGAAGATGGCCGCAGCTCCCGTGCCTCAACACCGGCTGAGGCGACACGTCGCATGCTGGAGCGCCGAGGTTACAGTAAAAAGATTAACTACTCTCTCTTGGACACCTTGTACGGCGGCGAAGGAGGAGACGCAAAGGACGCAAAGTCCCGAAGCATGAGTCGCAGCCAAAGTCGCAGCCAAAGCGTCATCTCACGTCGCAGCGCCAGCATCGAGCCAGAAGCAGCCTCACGATCCCAACGTGCAACCCCGTCAGATGCCAAGTTCGATGCCAAGGTCGATGCCAAGTTCATCCGTCCTAGTTCTGCCGTTCCACTCCCTACCCCACCGTCCACTCAGGACGCAAAGCCAGTCATGGCCAACGATGGCCCCTTGGATAAGGTCGACGCAGAGCCTGAGGACGAGGAGGATGAGGACGATTATGATGACGATGAGAAGGATGATGGCGTCGATGACGCATTTGCGGGCAATTACGAAAGTGACTATGATTATGGTGACGATGATGACTGAGGGTTCTGACCTCGGAAGTATTGTTGGGCATCTGTCATGTCCATTCGGTTGGAGTTACTGGGATACGATTGTCATCCTCTTGCTATATTTGATCTTCTGTTTTGCGGCCTTCGAGATGATACCATGTCTTTCACCCACACGAGCGTTGGGGTTTCCGAATTGAATTATCATATTAATATTCTAAGGATTGCAATTGTACCTTGCCCGGTTGCATCTATATACTCTAGGCAAAGCACTCACTAGAATTGGGTAGCATGAAGCCCTTTAGATCATTTTGCAATGATCATTATCATTAGTTATACCACACCTCCATAGAATCATAGCATTAATAAAACATCATTTTCAAACATTGGTGAGACATTAGAGGCAAGGTCACAAAGCAGATAAAAGCATACGTTTCAGCCACGAGAAAACGATACATCGTACACAAAGGCAAGCGTAATAAAGTCGGCATAGCTGACGGTAATCCTTTGAGGGAATGTAAGTCACCTCGCCAGACCTCCAACGACTAATCCAGTAATCGCAAATATCAAGTATCTTACCGCGTGTTGTACCCCAGCCATGAATAACACGAGCCCTAATGTTGAACACACGGATCATCTCCAAAGGAACATGTGATAGTTCATTTCCTCTCCCGCAGTCAACTCCCCATTGAACAGAGTAGCGATCGAGAAATACTGTCTTCCACCGGTCAGCAGTCTCCGGGTCATCCCCTTCTTTGGCATTAATAGCCCGGATATCGGTGCGAATGTCTCCTTCGTAGGTGGTTGTTCCATTAGACCCATGTTCCGTCGTCGAGGATGGAACTCTAGACCATGCATTCAAGACGGCTTCGCGTTGAATGCAGGCTTCATCTCGCGTACTCCGTTGCTTTCGGAATAGGCTTTCGACAACATCTTCGATGTCTTCTACTCTTTGGATAAGGCAGAGATAGAGCTCATCTCGCTCGCTCGATCTTTCTTGCCTTAGGCTGCTAACTTCTTTCTCGAGTTCTTCGAGTCCTTTTAGGATGTTCGGCTCGTTCTGTGTTTTTATCTCACGTTCCTCCTCGAGATCTTCAAGCCATTTGGCAATGTCGAGCTGACTCGATTTGTCCATCTCATGTCTGTCCTCCAGCTCTTTAAGTCTTTTGAAAATGTTAAGTTCATTCCATTTGTCCGCCTCGCGGCTGTCCTTGAGCTCGTTCGATCTTCCCATCCTGATTTTATCCTCTTGCTCCTGGGCATCAACCCAAGTAAAAGGCTCTGTCTCCATGGTGGGTTCTGGTGCTCTCGTTTTAGGGGTTCGTTACTGATGTTGGGGATGTGTAAAAGGACAGAAGAGATCCAACCTTGGAAGGTTGTATGAGCAGATATTAGTAAAAAATGGAGATAAGAAAGCTTATAAGATAGCTTATATTTATATGTGTATAGATATCTCTGAGATATAAATATCCTCCATGTCTACCTAGGTAGTTGACATTGTGTTGCATTCATACTTTGATGGTAACCATAGTTATAGAGAGTCCCATCAACTCTGGCACTTGACTACTTATAGTACAACAGGATTTGACTCTTTGAGACGTTCTAGCTCGATGATTACCGAACGTTTGTTGACTAGAATAGTACACTGGGGCTACTGTTATCTCTTTGTGAACTACAACACTCCCTTGGATATCACAATAGAGCCACCAGGTATACACCCGCGCATAGACTTAATAAACCCAACTTGTGACCTACTCGGCCATATCTTCTATGTGTCTGCAATGCTCTTATATCGAAAGTATCTGAAGAAACTCCAAAATATATGTCAAACTTAAAAACATGCCTTTTGGGGCACTTTTCTCAAAGTAACGAGACAAAATGCTTTCAAAGCTCAGTCAAAAGCTACATTAACCCAAACCCCGAAATGATTTTAAACTTTTTGATATAATGAGATAAGATAGTTGTAGATAAATAACGTTCGTCAAAAGCATGTGGCGAATACTTGAAGAACTCCCAGATTACGACGCCGGCCATTTCCCATAAAAGAAAGCAAACCAAGCCACCCAAAACCCACCAAACCCTCCACTGGGCGAGAAACGAATTGGCCCAGACTGGGTCAGTCAGGCGCGTGAGTCTCATAACTAAATAAGCAATAGTAAAAAGAAAGATTGAAAAAAAAAGGAAGAAACATATGGTAGAACAGTCGGAAAAAGGTCCGAGATCGATCGAGCGGATTGGTTGGACGTCGAGTCATCATGGCGGGTCGGATCGAACGAGATCGAAGGGAATTGGATGCGTTTTTGGAAGAAGTTACGAGTCGATCTCCATTCCCATTTCCACGCCTCCACTCAGTTCCTCGCGGCTTGATGCTTGAGGGTTGCTGGACAGGGCTTGCTGGAGAAGTGGCACGCCAGTGTCCATGGGGTTGAAGGAGATGGGTTGTGCGTTAGGTCGGTCGGTAGCTCCGAGGGGAGCAGGGCCCTCGAATATGATGGGGGAGCTACGAAGATTTTGGAGACATGCTTCCCACGAGGAGGCCACGAGCTGGCCTTGAGTGAGGTCTTCGCTGAAGAGATAAAAGGCAGGCGAGAGTCCAGAAGTTGGAGTGGCAGCCACAAGATAAGCATTCAGAGCGCGGCTTTTCATGAGCATCTGAGAGTCGTGCAGGTGGGCCGAGTATTGATTGTCAATATACTTGGTCCAGCCACGAATAGCAGGAGCCATGTCACCGTCGGTGTTGACACGCTGCCAGCCGATACCTAGGAGACGAGTGGCATCATCTACTAGCGGCTCGGCGGGCGGGGCGGGGCCCGCATTGAGAGTGCGATGCTGATCGTTGGAGCTAGGGTTGTCTAGACGTTGGTGGATTGAGGACAACGCAATATCATCCAGACCTGGTGCGGATGTATCAAGGCGCTGGGACTTGCGGCTTACGTCGACAGTATCGGAAAGCAGCGCATTTGACCGCGAGGAAACGGGTGCAGCGGCAGCCTGTTGCACCTCAGACTCTTGTTCGTACCATGTGCCGGTCTGGCTCTCGGCAGAGATCGCAAGGCCGGTCTGTGGGTTCAAAAGAACCATGCCTTCTCCATATATGGGCTTGACCTTGGGTGTTGGCGCCACATGGTGTCCTAGAGGCGCGCTGGGAACAACGGCCTCTTCAAAAGTGGCCTCATCACGGGACCGTTTGCGGGAGGGCTTGGGAGCCGCAGGGGCAGACGAGAAATCGAAGCTCGAGGGAATAGACTGCACAGAGCTATTGTTGGCAAAGACAGTGCTGGCGTTTACGCTTCCTGGGGAGTCGAGGAAAGACTGGGAGGAGAACTGAGCGAAGGCGTGTTCCCGGGGAGGAGAGAGGACCGTAGCCGGGCCGTCCGAGAGACGATTAAGAACCATCGGGGACATTATTGTTCGAAATTGTCTTGGATTTAAAACAAGGGGAACTGTTCTGTTAGATTAGGTGAGTAGGACACAAAGCTTTAACCACCTATGAAGAGACAGAAGTAAGAGCGAGAGGTAAAGGGTGGAAGATGTCTCGGCAAAAGAATATAAAGAATATATATAGGAAGAGAGAGAAAGGTGGTACTAAAGAAAAGAGAAAGAATTGGGAGGAGAAAAATGAGAAAAATGGGGGGAAAGAACAAAAGTAGAGCGAAGTAAGAGGAAGGGTAAGAGCGTGAGACAGGAAAGAACGATCTGAAGAAGTGGATGAATCGATGAGCGAAATGCGGAGGTACCGAGTCAAACGGTAATATACCACCAAAAAGTGGCTATCCGATCGACCATAACAGTATTGATACATGCGCTATTAACGGGTACCATTGGCTCATGCAGCCAAGACATCTCAGGTGGAGTCCAAGTTGGATGGGTCCAGCCCAGCCACAATTGGCCTATGAGGTGAGCGGAGATGTGGCCCGGGAGAATTACATCACGTGAAATCCACAGATCACGTGTAAAGAGAGAAGATCACGTATGTGAGATGAGGTCATATCAGTTTCAAGTCTACTGGGATACTATAGAGACACGAATGGTGAAAGGAAAAAAAAAACCATGGAGACCACAGAACAAGTCCAAAGCAGACCGACACCAGAGCTCCTGCAAGTCTAATATCAATCAGTCGTAGAAAAAAAAAAAAAAAAGTACACCGCCAGCAACAACATTTTCCATGTCACTGTATACATCACAGAAATGTGGCTGGAAAAAAAAAGATTGGTAATAAAACAGCCAAAAATGAGGCCCCTAGTTTTCCATTGCATCGTAAGGGCCCATAAAGACAAAGCATGAGGGATAGTCTCTATGTTACCGAGAGACGAAAAGGAACGGATGCCTCCACATGCTTGCACTTATCCACTTGTGCTCTCATTCCGGCCCACTGAAGCGGAGAATGGTTACGGAGTACTGTGGCATTGAACACCGGGCCGAAATTTCTGTGTTCCAATTTATAGGAAACGAAAGGCGTAAGGGTCTGACAAGTGCATTTAAGCATTGCCAGCAGTGGCACCACCAAGGTAGCCCTTGACACGATCAACAGAGTCATTGGCGTAACTGGGAGCCATAGAGCCAACAAAGAGGAAGAACATAAGAGCGGCAGCACCGAAAACGACAAATTTGCGCTGCGCAGGGCGGTTGTTGCCATACTCAGCCCAGGCGCGGCCGGCGGAGGAAGTGTACTCGCGCATCTTGTCGCCGCCAAGCTTGTACCAGACAAGACCCATCAGAGCAATGGAGTAGCCGAAAAACTGGAGGCCAGTGACGGGAGTCTGCCAGAGGAACATGGAAGCAGCGACCAACAGGATATCCTTCAGGACGCCACACAGAGTCATGACTAGGGAAGAGGTCTTGCCGATCTGTAGAGTGTGTTAATAATGATTCCCTTGGGATTGAGATCCGGAATTCTAAAGTATTACTTACCAGGAAAACGACCGAGACGTTGAGGAGGAAAGCCACAACGGCATTGAGAACCAGAAGCCAGATACCAACTGAGTAGACATGGTCCATGGTGACGTGGGGGAATTCCAAGAACAGAGCGACCACACCGTTCATGACAGCACAGATGGGAGCGAAGTAGTACAGAGAAACCATGGGGTCCATCTTGAAGTCGGCGGAGCTGAGCAGACCTTGCACCATGACCAGACGAGTGGCCTCGAAAATGATACCACCGATCTGGAACAGGAAACCGACCATGTTGAACTTGATCTCACCGAAGGAGGCAATCACCACACCAACCACAATGATGGAGACGTTGGCCAGAACCTTCATGTTGGCCGGAGCCATACCCATACCCCAGGTTGCGAGAAGAACAGCCACGGGAGTGGTGGCCTTGAGCATTTGGATGAAGGCAACGCTGAGGTAGAGGTAGGTCATGTTACCGCAAATCAAGCTCAGACTGAACATTATACCGATAGGGACAATAGCGCGGAGGTAGACACGGCCAGTCATCTTGACCTTCTTACGGCCATCGAGGATAGTAGTGGTGCGAGCGAGGATTTGGGTCATGATAGTAGCGAAGGACAAGTGCCATGTTGTGAGGATGATAGGGAAACCTATCCAAGAGTGTGTTAATGCCAGTTTCCTCGCATTGTATCTCCTGATCTGACTTACGGAAGTTGGCATAGTCGAGGAGGTACTTGTTGAACAGGATAACAGTGGAACTCAAAGTGATCCATGTACTATCAAGATATCAGCAATTCTGTCCGATCTGTCTGTTCCCTTTTGATGCTGCTCACGTCACGTAGACCGCGGGGTGGAATGTAATGCTGGGCTGCTCTGTTTTCTCCGCTGCGGGGTTAACAGTAGGCAGAGACTGTTCCCGGGGAGTCTCGCCAGAGGCGCGGACCTTCTCGCCGTCGCTCATTGTAAAAGTTTGAGATTGATCGGATAAAAAGCGCTTAAATTCAAAAGGTCGTGGCCGGGACAGGCTTCCTTGACTAAATGCGGAGGAAGCCACGGAGAAAGGTGGATAAGGAAGGCGAAATTAGAAGGAAATGATCACTAAAATGCTCCGGAGGTTAACGAGTGTGTGATAGGACCAAAAAGAGAATAGCGATAAATCAAAACGAGCGTGAATGAAGAAATGATGATGAAGGTTGAAGGGATGGAATGGGGTACGTACTTCAGCAGTAATTATTTTTTTTTTTCGGCACCAAACATTTAACTTCAAATTTGGGAAGGATTTGAAGGGGAAATTAAGAGAAGAAAAAGCAGTTGAACGTAAATGAAAATAGACCAGAAGCCAAACACCAAAACAGCATAGGAACAGGAACAGCAGTATGGAGTATGTAAAGAATAGATCCACTCGCCGCAAACAGAAAGTGAGAGGAGAAAGACAGACAGGCTGGATGTTTTAATGCCGGGAAATTTTTTAGTATGTGAATTACCGTTACATATATTACAATCTCTTCCTAAAGGCCACCTGTACTCTTTGCATACCTCTCTCTATTATTTTTGTCCGTTCCCTTACGTAGTGGTTTTCGTTTATATACCAGTTATACCAGTTATACCAGAACCAATACCATTTTGTACTTTACTAGCTCTTAAATCTAATTTGAGAGGCTGGCCAAAACGTCCATGGGTTTGCTCGTGGCGACAGCCTTGGAAGTCTCCCCTTTTTGCCTTAATTCACCAATAACATCAACCTGGTCATGGATCCACCGTCTCTAATCAACACTCTTATCCTTAATTTCAATCATAGTTCAATCTTAAAACACATATATATAAATATCTATCTAGGTATGTCTGATATTGACGAGAGCATCTACCTAGGGCTGGATTATTGGAATGTCCTAATCCAACTGGTTTGAAATAGAAGACCGAAGCAGCGCAGATCCAAATTAATAGTAGGGCATTACGCAAGCAGCTGTTAGCCAAGGCCCACCAGAACCCGCGTTCAGTGACCCTCTGGTCCATCCGGTCCCTTACGGGTGGAGAATGCGGCGATCCGTCCTCTGAAGGCGACGCCTGACCTGACGCAATCAGGGGACCTTCCAGCCCCCCACAAGTACAATGTGCTTGGACCAGTGGTGGTGGGGGGAGGGGGAGAAGACCCCTAAGCTTTGAGTATTAATGGGAGTTGGTGTTTCAAGAGGCTATAGACATTTGGTAGTGTTCTCTTGCCATTCGAGAAGTTTTCTCTCAAGAGGGGGTTGATCAAGGGCAAGATCGGTTGGTTGTGCGAAGAGATCCTCGCTGTATTACTCTCTTGGGAGTGACAATCAGTGGAACCAGATGCCAATGCACTGAAGTTTCGCAAATCCCGTTCTTTCCTTGAGACCGCCAGATGAGATGATCAACCCTGCGGATATAGCTCCGGTGGGATTCAAGGTATTTTCCTTTGGGGTTGCCCTATTAAATTGACTATTTGATGCATGTGATACACATGTACACTATATGTACGATGCACAAGTGGTATATATCGTACAACAACGGCGGTATACATGGGGGGAAGTCGATGTAGATGAAACTTGAATCATGATCTCTAACAAGTAGGAATTAGGCTCATTTGTGCCAAAATCACCTTTGATGGAGGTCCATACAAACTACCGAAACACCATTGCGTACTAATTTAACCATAGCCAACAATATGCCAATGCCTACATCGGTGGCGTTTTTAGCCTGACCACATTGGATCGAGATTCAATGATTGCCCCTATCCATATTGCCCCTTTTTTCCCTGTTTTTCCTTCTTCTAGAATAATGTTCCGAGATTGGGATTGATATGATAACGGGCATTCCAGAGGGGGAGACCTTGAATGTTATCCAATACCCGCTAAGGGAATTCTAATCTCAACTTATCCGCATGCGAAAGGTGAATGCACATTTCATGCACTCGAGGTCCCTGCTTTTGGAGGTATCATGATAAGCTCAAAACCAATAACGGCTTTACGCTTGAATGTGATATGTTAATTTTTGACTAGGATTACGGTGTGATGAGATGAGATTGCCTTACGCGTTCTTTTACTCCATATTCCATACAAAGAACCACGGACTACTTTCTTAAGATTGAGCTCTGAAGCACTGCCTCCCCCTGAGTACATTATTTATTGTTTAATTGTGATTGTAATTGAGCTTGTCAATGTGATAGGAGGACCTACAACATTAGTTTGTTACTCCGTATGTTGTACTCGATAGTTTGAGAACGAAAATAAATAAAATTAAGGAAATTAAGGAAATTAAACCCCCAATAAACCCCAATAAAATCCAATCCCATAAACCAATATCAATACGAATCAGTAAAGCTGAAACAGGCACGTCGTCCCCACCGGATCCGTTTAACCCACAGAACCAGGTGCGTCTAGATACCCTTAGCTTGGCTGGTCACGTTGTCCTCCCACTTCCCCTTCTTCTTTGGTTCCTCCGCTTCCTTGCCCTTTATTATCCCTCCATTCCCCTCTTAATATTCTGCAGATTCCTGCAGCTGTGCTTCTATGCTGAACGTCGCCCGCAAGACATTCAAACGAGTCCCCAGCTTTCAGGACCTCTTACAAGGCAGAATGACCCACCCCGATATGTAAGGACTAGCTCATCTGTTCAGATAACCATCATCTCTAACAATTGGTTTGCAGTTCTGTTGACGTTCTCGTCATTGGTGCTGGCCCAACTGGTTTGGGTGCCGCCAAGCGTTTGAACCAGATCGTAAGTCACATCTGTCCCCAAATGTTTACTGTGTCGGAGAGGGGCACATGTAAACAAAAAAAAAGGGGGAGGGGTATCCCGGAACAAAAAAAAACTAATTGAGTATACAGAATGGCCCCTCATGGATGATTATCGACTCAAACGAGACCCCCGGTGGTTTGGCTTCCACTGATGTTACCCCCGAAGGTTTCGTAAGTTGCGACTTGGTCTCAATTGTGTCCACACCGCTAACTCGATTCACAGCTGTACGATGTCGGCGGTCACGTTATCTTCTCCCACTACAAGTACTTCGATGACTGCATCGACGAGGCCCTCCCTAAGGAGGAGGATTGGTACACCCACGAGCGTATCTCCTACGTTCGCTGCCAGGAGCAATGGGTTCCCTACCCCTTCCAAAACAACATCTCCATGCTGCCCAAGGAGGAGCAGGTGAAGTGCATTGACGGCATGATTGATGCTGCTCTCGAGGCCCGCGTCTCCAACACCAAGCCTAAGGATTTCGATGAGTGGATCGTTCGCATGATGGGTACTGGTATTGCCGACCTCTTCATGAGACCCTACAACTACAAGGTCTGGGCCGTTCCCACCACCAAGGTAAGTTTGACTTCTTCCACCCCGAAACTGAACCAATGCTGATCCATTATGTCTAGATGCAATGCGCTTGGCTCGGTGAGCGTGTCGCTGCCCCCAACGTCAAGGCCGTGACCACCAACGTTATCCTCAACAAGACCGCCGGTAACTGGGGTCCCAACGCTACCTTCCGTTTCCCCGCCCGCGATGGTACTGGTGGTATCTGGATTGCTGTTGCCAACACTATCCCCAAGGAGAACACCCGCTACGGCCCCAACAACAAGGTCGAGAAGGTCAACGCCTACAACAAGACTGTCACCCTCGTGGATGGCACCACCATTGGTTACGGAAAGCTAGTCTCCACCATGGCCGTCGACTACCTCGCCGAGGCTATGAACGACACTGAGCTCATGCCCCTCACCAAGCAGCTCTTCTACTCCACCACCCACGTTATCGGTGTTGGTATCCGTGGCGCCCGTCCCGACCGCATCGGCGACAAGTGCTGGCTGTACTTCCCCGAGGATGACTGCCCATTCTACCGTGCCACCATCTTCTCTAACTACTCCCCCAACAACCAGCCCGAGGCCTCCAAGAAGCTGCCTACCCTTCAGCTCGCTGACGGCTCCAAGCCTAAGAGCACCGAGGCTCAGGACGGTCCCTACTGGTCCGTCATGTTGGAGGTTTCAGAATCTTCCATGAAGGCCGTCAACAACGAGACCCTCCTTGCCGAATCTATCCAGGGTCTCGTCAACACCCAGATGCTCCAGCCCGGTGATGAGATTGTCTCCACCTACCACCGCCGCTTCGACCACGGTTACCCCACCCCCACCCTGGAGCGTGAGGGTGCCCTCACCCAGATTCTCCCCAAGCTCCAGGAGAAGGGTATCTGGTCCCGTGGCCGCTTCGGTAGCTGGCGCTACGAGGTCGGTAACCAGGACCACTCCTTCATGCTCGGTGTCGAGGCTGTTGACAACATTGTCAACGGTGCCGTTGAGTTGACCCTCAACTACCCCGACTTTGTCAACGGTCGCCAGAACACCGAGCGTCGCTTGGTCGATGGTGCCCAGGCTTTCGCCAAGAAGCAGTAGATAATTCCCCCTTATTTCTTTTTAATTTATCCCACCATTCTTGTTAGAAGTGAAGGATTCTTTTTTTTTAACCTCTCCATTTTTTTTTACACAATTGAAACGAGCTCATACCGTCAAGGAAAAACTATACACGTGAGAGCATTTGAAGCGGCATCTGGAAGACGATCGATCTTTGTTGGCGTTTCATCTTGTTACTTAACACCATCCAACCCTCTTCACCCTATCCATCTACCTATTTCCTCCTTCCATTAGCCGTGAGCCGGGACTTGCTTTTGGTGCACTTTATTAGATTGCCTTGATATGTGCGATTGCTCATTTTTTAATCATTCAATTGATCGATGAACCTCTTCCTTTTCCAAAATGTATGTTGTACTCCACGGCTTGCCTTCTCAGAAAGTAATATGAAGCACGTGGCTTGTTTCATGTGAATCGTGCCCCTCGCCCGAAATTCTAAAAATCCGGTCAAGACATTCGAAGGACAACCTTGGAAATATCCAAACCAAGTAGATCTCGCCCTATATGGACAGAGTGTTTCGTGGCATTTCCCCATCCAACCTTGACACTCCACCAATACCATTGGCTCCCTCGAGTTACACTCGCCACAACACAGATCACCAATCAGACAATCACTAACCCACACACACTGCAAGAGCCTCTCTATGCGAACCATGTCCCTCCAAACCCCCCTGGATTACAGACCCCTGGATTCAACATTGATCAATCTACCGGCAAACACCCTCTCGGCGCCATGAACCACACTCGGAAATATTCCGGAACACAAGACATTCAAGGTTATTCTACGCGGTGGCGCAGTGGATCCGCACAGAGAACGCAGGTCAAACGTAAACCAGTCTTATCGAGAATCGAATATGTACAGTCTAAATGGTATGCAAGGCAAGAAAAAGAAAAAAAAAAAAGAAATGTCCGAGTACTCCGTACTCCGTAAGCCATGTAAGCAATGCAGAGTGACGTAGGCTGCGGATTTCAGTTATCCTCACGGTCAGATGTGTTCAATGGCGAAAAAGGCACTGCCGGGGCCGCGTCAGATCTGGAGGCAGCCAGGTTTGCGGTTCTTCTCCACTGAACTATTGATAGATTTGGGTTACCGATATCGTTGTTTCAGATATGTATTGTTTACTGACATTCTAGATCCCTTTTGCATTTTAACGTGAGACATTGTAGTCTGGACCAATGCTTCGAGGGGTTATTTTTAACCTTTCTTTCTTGAGGCATGTTGATCTAGAACCGCTTATGCGTGAGGATGGTTCAATATCTTATATTGGAGGATTGAATATTATTGTATACTTCCATTCCCCGTTTCGTCGATCACGGGGTCTTGGGGCGAGAAACATCATACCATAAATATATAAAATTAGAGTCGACTGGGTCAATGCCTTTGAAAAGCCACTGATATCAATAAAAAAACAGACCCCCGCTGGGATAGCTTATGGTGGGCTCGAAGAGGCCAAACCGCTAGAATAGAATAAAGTCACCAGTTTCAAGCACCCACGATATCTTGATATCGCTCTTAGATGACGATATTGTTGTGAGAGCCACGGTCCTCGGTAACACTATTGACCGCGCTAGCAGGCGAGACTGACCCCTCGGCCAAGACTGCCTCGTAAGACATAGTGGACGCTAGGGTTAGGTCCCGGGGTGGGACGCTTGCGGT